AACTAACGACACGTTAAATGTTTATTCCAACACGATCAAATAAGATAATTGTACTTTAGTTACTGATTATTGTTATTTTTGTGAGATTATGTTAGAAAAGTTAAATTCACTTCCACACACATCGAAGTTTCGATCACCACTAGTCGAAGTTGACCGAAGTGAAGTTGTGGGTGAATATAGCGCTGCGCCTGCGCTCTTGTCGAATGGATTTTTTGTGAGCGCGTGCGACTTCTGTCCACAGTGTAGGCGTAATAATAACATACGGTTCTCTCGCTCACACTTACTCCCGTGCGCTGTATGTTTGTCCCGTTCTAGCGCCACAGAAAATAAATGCGAATCAGTCGCCATCTAGCCAACCCAGTTACAACTATAATGATTCGAGTTGACATGACCGTAACTATTCACTGTATTATTTCAATTTATGTATGACGAAGCAGCATACGTATTGTTTTAGTAATTTTAAATGAATTTACAGATGTGTTTAAAGAAAAAGACAAGTCGCATTTAAATGATATTATATGTAAAAATAAATGTGTAGGTACTTTGCAATTTATTATTAATCGCTTCCTATAGGTAAACACTTATTATGAAAATAACTTGTGGGTAGTTATAACATATTTTATAAATTAAACCAAAATGAGCTATCTCGCTATGTTAAACAAATTCACAGAACGATGACCGAAAATAAGGACAGAGGGCGTGACAGAATGCATATTTTTCAGTTCACCAAACATGGGCGACATGATACACTCACGATATTTTAGGAACTAAAACCTAGTGGCATTTGAAGGCTCATTAAAAACTAAGCAATTTTATGGAAGAAATCATTTTTTTCGAACTACCATGTGTACTGCTCCTACCTGAATAAAACAATAGGGCAGTGGGTGCGTAAAACTACAATCGACATTCATTATTTTTCAATCGTAGCTCCGGTAGTTGATTTGTCACGACTAATTAAGCTCAAGGACTTGGTAAACCTATTACAAATGAAGACTGAAGGTAATATTTTATTTCAGAGAGACTAAAACAATATTTTCTGTTTCAATACTGAATAAAACATATTGTTGGATAACGAAAGGTCAACGAAGAGAGAATTGATTTAGAATATTTTATTTACATATTGTTAAAGTAAAATTTGTTGCATTTTTCTATTACAAAAAAAAAACATCTATTTTTGTGTGGGTAAAATTTGGGTGTGGCTCTCAATATACAACAAATCTGCAATGCAATTTGACCTTTATTGGCTAAAACAAACAAGGATTACATTTTTTTATTTACTTTACTGCACCTCAATGACGAACTAAAGTAGGTAATAATAGCTCCTTATAACACCCACACTGGATATTAATTTCATCGAGTTAGAGATGAGTTTTTTCTCTTTTTACATAAAAGGAAACTGTGGGCGAGTGGCAAATTGTTTTTCATATTATTTAAGACTAAAGTTACGCAATGTGCGAAGAACATAAACCGACTGAGATTGCTCAACAAATATCTTTTTTTGGTATAATTTTATGGACTTAACTGTATCTGCGATCATGAGGCTTGTGCTTGTGGGGAAACAAGTAGATATGTAAGAGAAACTTGTCTTCAATAATGCTTTTGGAAGTAACAGAAAGTAGTTAGACTTCTTGTAAGTATTAGAAAATATTGTTGGATTTGCAACTAACTACAGTTTTTTTATATATTTTAAAACAAAACAAAACTAAGGGTATCAAAGCATTGTACGGTGATCATTATACCTATTTATCCCTTATTTTAAAAACTCCTTTTTGACGTTCATTATTTTTGTACTGTCGACATTTTTTGTTTTGTTCCAAATATGAACATTCTCTCTCTTCGTATTTCCATATAAACCATTGAATTAAACAGTTTGTGCATTGCCCAAAACATTCATTTTCTATTTATCTTGCGCAGTCTTTGTTACTAATGGTGTCTTAGAAGATTTAAATACCTACTAAGACATTTTTGTATGTAGAAAACGTACATTAAATGAACATACAAAAGTACTAAAACAAAACAAAGAACATTAGCCTCCGTCGTCATACCATGGATAGAAACTAAGAGAAATTTTACAACAATCCTTTTATAAAGTTGTTTTGGTTCAAATACAGTCTTACATTACGTATCTAGTCTTTCCTCATTGGATAAAAGTGTATTTTCGATACCTAGGACTTTGTTCCTAACGTAAAAGCGAATGAACAAAGTCGAAGACTAACTAAACTAAACATCTTAGTAAACAGTTTTTGGAAACCTCTAATTATCTTCTTAAGCATCAATTGCCCTGATAAAATTTAACTTTATATCACCGTTCAAATTCGTTTTTAACAATGCCAGCACATTCGATCAATTAAAATCACCCATGTTAGTTACGTTTTATCAATTCTGTTAAAAGGATAAATGGATAATTGACCCCTATTCGATGTTCTTGTGGATCTATCGAATTAAACGGATTAAGCACACAAGTTCCACGCTCCATATTCCACTATTATTTCTGAATTGAAAGGTTTATAACATATATACATCTTTAACAGAAGGGTCGTAGTTTTATCTTAGTGCTGTTTTATTTCCTAAATGTGTTAACAATTAATGCCGCAGTCAAAGCTATTGCTTCATTACACACATTAAAAGATAAATAACACTCGTAGCCATTAATCCTACAAAGTAATCTATTGTTTTCCATAAAATCATTTGCCGAAGCCCATATAGCTAGGTGTATTTATTATTAAGCATTTACGATTAATTAATCGTTGCTCATTGCAGCAATGTTTAAACCTTTACTGAAGATGGTTGAATCTTCGCTTTAAAAGCTAATTTTCCTTAAATAATTAATACCTACCACAGAACAAACCAACTAAGAGCCTGCTTAGAGCGAATTAAATGTACTGGAAAATGCTAAAAGTATTTAAAATCGTTTTATGACAACATTTTTCACCGATACACGGGCTTGACTACCATAAAAGCATCGTGATTATGCGGTCGCTCCTGCTATGGCAGCTCGTTCGGACTCTAATTATCTAGGCACTATGGAACATGGATATACGAAGATAGCAAATATCTCAACTGAGATCATGTTTCTGACTCTGCGCCAATAATAAAAACATTACATTGCAAATTATACAAGCAATACCGACTTCTTGCATATTGCACTGTGCTTAACGGCTTATTTTAGTAGGTATTATCGTAATTTTACACAAATGCGCAGTGACTCTTTTATAGAATGTACATAAAATTTCAATCAAAACAACAGTTTACAACAGTAAACATAATTCGTTAGCACAAACGCGCGTAAAAAGAATAGCAATAAATATTTTAGAAGTAAATTATTGATCGACAACGCATTGTTAATGTCTATGTTGGCTACATTGTGTTTTATTCACAGCATGTGCACAATATTAAATTAAAACAACGTCAAGTCCGCAACAATTTTTATGTTCATGTATGTAGGTTGGAGTGCCGTGCGCACAGCTTTGCGTCTTGGATATCTACATGTCCGGCTTTCGGCCTACGATTTGTGCGCAGAGGAAAACATTGCGTCACCCTACCATCGTGTGACCATTTGTTTCAAGCTTCCCATCTTTGATCTTAACTATCGATGACACAAAAATGCTTTGTGGGGATACTAAGTTAGACATATTTTTATAATTTGTAACGGTAACTAACTTTGTTCCCTTCCCCTTCCATACCCACTTCGTTTCATTCGTTAATCAACGTCGCTAGAAATGCCCACTAGTTTATTTTGACTTTTGAAACCATCTAGACGATAAAATATGTTTTATTTTGACATATAAAATCTTAAACTACTGAGCGCTGAGCTTAAATTATTCTGATGACAAATTCCTAGCCAACGCAGTTTATCTGTGAATAAATAAATACATCTTGTGAAATGTGTAAGTTCCTCGTTTCAAACCATATTCCCTTCACAGAACATAATACAGTTTCAATCATGTTTTCTTGTTTCTTTAGCTAACGACGACGACGACGACTCAAGTGAGGAACATTTTAATATTTACCGGTACAGACGTAAAGCAACCCATAGTGAGATCTACCCATTACCAGGTTTCTCAGGCGTTCGTACAAGTATAGCACCAAATGTGCAATTTGAACTTGATAAAAACAAGCACCAGAAAACTTATGCAATATTGCAAGAAACACGATCTGAATTTAGCACTAACAGCAAACTGCGAACACTTTTGTTAATTTATTCCGACCCTGCATGGAAAATATTCATACTTACAACACTATTTATTGCATATATTCTGGACACTTGTGTTTATACTTTTTACAAATCAGACGAAAGGCCGTTTTGGACTATTGTCATTTTATTGTGTTTCAATCTCATATTTAGTTTCGACGTTCTTATTATTGTTGGATTGAAGTTCTTTAGGAAATGGAGGAAAACTTTGAACCTTGTTGAACCAGAAACAGTTAAAGTAGTCCTTAATATAATACTGGCAGTTCCGTATTCATTCTTGTATTTTTTGGACGATAAAAACGTTCAGTTCAACTTTCATGCAATAGCACCTTTAGTAGCAACTGTGCGAGTATATAGAATTTTAGAATATTTCTACAATAGATCAACTCAAGCAGGCAGCAACCAATGGACAACGTTTCTATCACAGTATTTGATACTATTCGTTCTTTCCGTGCATACTTGGGCATGCGTGTGGTTTATATTTGCAAATAAAAGTTTCGATTTACATAAAATTCGTACCTCGTGGTCTTTGTCAGCGGTCTATTTACCGACTGAGGTGACACTAGATTGGTATTATGTTTGCACTTACTGGTCGGTCATGTTTCTCACTACCAATGCCCTGGGCGATTTATACCCGGTTACAACTGCTGAGAGAATTGTTGCCATATTAGCAACCTTACTCGGATTCCTGCTGACAACAGTTGTATTTGTGGGCTCTTTAACTTCACAATTCATTACAATTACTACAAGGCGTTCGAAGTATGTAAGACAATTAAAGAAAATAAAGAATCACCTGAGGTTGATCAAAATGGATACCGAGACTACGAAACGTATTATCGGGTAAGCCACTTCTGATCCTAACTCAATGTCAATTGGTTTTATGTTCATGTTTTTAAAAAATGTTTTGCATTTCTTATAGGTATTATGAAGATCTCTGGTACCAAAAATCAGGAGTTTTTAAACCTAAACTACTGAGACTTCTTCCCTATCCTTTACAAATGGAAATCTGCTACGACTTAAATGCCGTTCCGCTCTATAGCTCCCTGATATTTAGGAAACTACCGGAAGCATTCCTTAGGAGGCTATCTTTAGACATGAGTCACCAGTTTTATTTACCAGGGGACGTTGTATACAGCCATAACCAGAACAAGACTATTATGGTGAGGTTGCATGTATATTAGCTATTTAAAATATTAATTAGATAGCTGTTTATCATAAAGGTACTATTTCTGCATCCCTGTTGCAGGTATGTATCACCAGTGGAGTATTAGAACTATTATCTGACGAAGATGATGAAAGTCCAATGATTTCATTTGCAAAAGGAACTTGCTTTGGCGAAATATCTCTAGTTTATAACATACCCGGTAAATATACTTTATTATTCCCATCATTTTAATTCGAAGTTCATAATTTTAAGGCAAAATTTTCATACTCACAGCACGATGTACGGTAAAAGCAGCGACTTACGTTGAATGTCAGGTCCTAGAAAAGACCAAATTCATAAGACTGATGATGACTTACCCAGACCTTGTTGATTCGATACGCAACGAAATAGAAGAGCGAATCAACAGAAGCCGACTGAAGAAAATTAAGCAAGGGGAACATGCTGAGTTCTCGTTAAATATCTATGCATCCAAGGATCGGAAGAAGAGCAGCATTAAATGTTTAAAAGATAAATTAAGATACATTCAAGGTTGGTAGTAAGAACTTAGTTATTTTATATATAATTATTATTATTTTTTATGTTTCAAGTCGGCAAACGTGTAGACTTATACCTCATGGTAAGCCATTGACGCCGCCCATGGACACCAGCAACACAAGAGGAGTTACTAGTTCGATCGAGCGATCGAGCCTTAAGGGGATTAGAGTTTGGGAAATTTACGGATAAGGGAATCACTAACACAGCAAAATATGACGCTGTATTTGTTTCACGCTAGATTTCTTCGAGGCTGTGGTATCACGGGCTTCAGGTAAACTCTTCCATTTTTACCCTAGCTTGGCCCTTGTCGGTAGGTTCAGAGCATTAACTTAATTTTCATTTTCACATCACCTGCTGCAGGTATATCGGACGTTGACACTCTGACACATGAAGACAAACTAGATGAAAATTGCTTGGATTTGTACATCATATCTGAACACGTTAAGAAAAGAATGTCAATATTCACTTGTGTCAAGTCCAAGTTTCCATGGATATTAGAAGCTGATTGTCCTTTAGTCAAATATTGGGAACTATATATGCTCAGCATCGTCTTTTACATAAGTATTACATATCCTTACTTTATAGGATTTAAGAGGATGTTTCCATCTGGAATCTACTTCTATATCCAGATAATTATAACTTTGTCTTTGATTCTTAATCTTTTTATGACTTCTATAACTGCGGTTAAAACCAAGAAGTTGCATATAAAAGATTTCAGAGGTATATTGAATTATAGAATGAATACTCTTGGGTTTTATCTTGACGTTGTGGCAATAATACCGTTCGAATACATAGTCACTATTCATCAAACTGTGAAATATTACGACAACTATAGAGAACACTTATTTTATCTATGCAAAGGCATTAAACTGTGTTTGATATGGAGATTGTCAAGTTTTTTTGAGAACTTAGAAAGAAAATTGTTATTGAATTCGCTACTTGTAAAGGTGAGTGACGCTTTTAGTATTTACTCATTTTAATAAAAAAAAAATGTTTTATTTGTCCTGTATCGTCCATATTTCACTTAACAAGGTAATTGTGCTTTCCTATTATATCTCACTAGTTAATGAGGCACAGTTTTGTCCGCTACTTAGCTTTTACAAATTAACTATACAACACAAAAATATACTGTTTATTCGAACTGGTAGTTGCGGAGACTTCCGTGTTTATTCATATTTTTATAAACTCAAAAATTTTACAAATAAGATTATTATTTATTTGACAATACTGGATACAGGCTTCCAAAAGCCAAAATATTATATGTGGAATAAAATTGTTGGTATCACTGTCTTATACAAACATTCTGACGCGACAGCATCATAGTCATTCCCCAGGTAACTTTAACCTAACCATTGAAAAATCAGCCCTTAAAAACATTTAAATTAATTACATTTCTAGATAACGAAGTATTGTGTATACATCTGCTTACTATGCTACTGGTCTGGCGTAATATTGTACATGGAATCATGTTTCGTCTGCCGATGTTCAGAAAACTCGTGGTTCAGTACAGCACTGGTTTGGGATAGCCAACAACGAAACGCCAGAATATCAAGGTAAGTTCCTCTTTATCTTAAATGGTTTCTCTAAGTTAGGTTAGCTGCTGTAATATGATCATGTATTTAAAACAAGAAATCAAGTTATTTTTTATGCTTTTGCCCTCTTTGCCCTCTTTCCTTTTCCTCTTCTGTCATTTTTCTTTCTTCGAGTTTGCGGTACTTATGTATATTCATCTTTCACTAGTTCTGTCCTTCCCTCCATCCTCGATCCTTAAATCCCTAACAACTTACAAGAGGCCGGCAATGCACTTCCTTTGGTATCACGAGTGTCCATGGGCGCCGTCAATTGTTTACCTTTCCATGCCATACCACCGATTTACCACCGGACATGAAATCTCGTGTCTGCTGGTAGTTGCACTCGACCAATGAAGTAGTTTGTCGAAAGTAATGTCGGAAGCTTATACGGTAAAAGTATAGTAGGTGTGAAGATTTAACGTGTGAGGTAATATCGAAACGGACACTTTCACTGTTTCTACTAATATTAATAATTGCCAAAACAACATTAATATTCTAAGCTTTGGTAAACCATACGTACTACTGTACTACCTACTGTATGAAATAGAAATGTTATACATATTATAAATGTAGATACATGTAATTAATGTATGACGCATAAATTTAATTCAAGGACTAATGATTCATAAACTTTATTCTCTAATAAACTTTTCCGCTGAATGATTTATTTTTATGAGTAATTTAATTTCAAAGACAACTGTAATTACAATTTCAGATGGTCTCTTAGCAGATAGAGTGTCCATATTTTCTATGTTACTAACTGCATTTGTAGCCCTTCCACACACTTCACATGGCGTTTCGGCGTCATGGCACAGAAAATGTCCTTCTTGTTTTATCATTTGATAGAGCTTAAAATAATTACCTTATTCAACTTTCAGAACTAAATATCCTTTAATAACGTCTGTTTATTTTGCAACCACCATACTGCTTTCTGTTGGTTATGGAGACTACACCCCAGGAGATATCTACGACATGGCGTTTGTAGCCTTCCTTAGTCTCTATGGTGTTCTATTTTCCGGATATTGTATTTCTGAGTTTTCTGCTGTTGTCACACATTGGTCAAGGTATCAACCCACATACTATTCTAATACATCATCGCAAACACTTAACAAAAAATTGTTTTGAATCTATTCGTTAAGGCGAATTAATGGCCTCAGCTCAGATAGCAGTTGACACACAATTCCTTAAAAGTAATCAAATGATTAATTTATAGAACGAAAACAGCTTTCTTAGAAGTAATCATTACGATTGATAAATTCATGAAAGAAAACAATATGCATCCAGCAATCAAATCTAGAATCATGGCTTTCTACGAACTGCAGTGGCAATATAATTCGGTAAATATTTGATTACTTTAAACAAGTAGGTAACGACAGGTTCAGATTTATATTTTATCCTAAATCAAATTCATGACTATTAATTCAACAAGGCCGTATTAATAAGCAAATGTACTTTTACCAGGGAGTTGAATTAACAGACAATGACAACTGGTTAGAAAAAACAGTAGTTCCATCAGAACTGAGGAAGAAAGTGTTACATCAAGCAAGATTCAAAGCACTTACATCGATCAAGTTTTTTCAAGTGAAAAATAAAGCCTACATTCATACGCTGACTGAGGGTAAAAACTACTAAAGTACTTATCCTTCTTATATATATTTAGATTTAAAGGCAATGGGCATACGTTGGACAATAAATTTCAAAAAAAATATTTAGCTCAGAAGTCGAAGATAAAAAACTTCACTAGAATTAGAATCACAAGGGTGAAGATTAATAACATGAATCCCTCAACTTGACCTAGCAATGAGCTTAAAATAATTTCTGCTTACAGCTGCTAGAGACATAATTTTGCCACCCGGCGAAATCGTATTTTATGGAGGGACGGTGACAAGAGAGTTGTACATAATAGAGAGCGGTTATTGCTTAGTGACATCTAATAAACTGAGAGAGAACAACACTGAGCGCGTGATAGGCCCAGGCAGTCACGTGGGGTTACTGGTACTATTATACGGAGTCCCCACTCTCAGCACCGTCGTTACATTGACTCACTGTAAGGTAAGTTAGGGTCCCCACGACCTTTTACAGGTGGGCTGTGCAGTGGGAAGTCCTCCCACGCTTGCTTTCTGCCATCCGACCTTATTTAAGGTTATACGATCAGAGCTTTTGTCGCAACGAAGGTGACTGTTATAAAGTGGAATAAATAATGTACACACGAATGATAATTTTGAACATAACAGAAAAAAATGAAATGTTTTGAATAAAAAAGCCACTTTACAATAAAGTGAAGTTTCTTTTTACATAGAAACATGTAGTTTTTTAAATGGCGTAATGATTAAGTAAACGATTAGTCAGTTAACATAAAGAAAATCTATCTGTCGTTGCGATTGGAGACTTAATTCATTTTCCTGAATCGCCTTTTACAACATCCACAAGACTTATAAATAGTGGAAGACCAAATAAAAATGGAAATGACAGAAATACTGGTTGATTAATATCGGCACCAAGTTAATCAAATCAGGTATATAAATATCTTCCCACACGTTGTTTTAATCTTTGGATCTAATAAAAAAACATGAAAATGACAAAAAAATATACTTCTCTGTGAAAAATATTGAAGGTTCAACGATCAATAAAAAAATATTAGCAAGGAAGTTGTTTATTTAGTTAGGTTATTATGGAAAGTAGTAAAGGGTACCTGTTAATTAGGGCCCTTTTTCCAGCTCGTTAGTGTGAGCCATTATGCTTACACATCGGCTTTAAGTCTCTTCCCAGCCATGAAAGAGCATGAAGATCTATTAACACCAGAAGAGCTACAAAATATAGAAGAGCAGGCTAAAACGCAAACCACGGACTCCTACTTACAACATTACAACAGACTGACAATGCAAAAACGGAAAGTGAAAATTGCTAGTCTACTACAAGAATTTTTCAACAGTAAGTACCCATAAAATCATACGAAGTAAAGTCACATTTTGATACTGTTTATAGCTTTTGGAAAAATATCAGCGTTGGATATTTTACCTTCTTATTACAGACTCCTTCATAGACCTTAATTCGGAATATAAGAAATCGAAGAAAAATTATTGGAAATCTTTCAAACAGTTTCATGTACTGAACAATATAGCAGCATACTTATTGATGCCTATCGCTATAAGACCAGACGGAATATTCTTGAAAGTGTGGGCGAGCATTCGTATAACCACCGCATTTTTACTGTGTCTTCTCATACCTGTAAGATTTTATTTTGCTTATGACACCTTTAATAATACAGTGTCTAGTTAAGGACTGTCTAGACGACTTTTTGTATTCTATTTCTTCCGTGCATAATATGGAGTTGTTCAAATACGGCTGCTTTGTTATAAACAATATGAATATTTCTAGCTTTATTCATAATGGCTTTTTTCGGTTACACTGACCCTATTGCAAACTGCGCTTAATTTGCATTAGCATGCCAGGTGAAAATCCGCTCATGATAAAGTGGGCTGACTGACAAAGAGTAATGTTAGAAGGTTTTACTTTACATCATCTGTGCTTCGTACCTCCATTCAAAATACATTTCGATGAGATAGCAACCAGTAAAGTGACACACTGCTGAATATCTACAAGTTGAGCAATATTACACTTTCAATAATGAAGCAAACTGGACTGGGCCAGCAGCCTACATCCGAACAGAACATCCACTTACAATCTATGGTGGGTGTCTATTTCGACACGTCTTAAAGTACACAAATACAAATGACTTCCTTTTTCTTGCCACTCCAAGGTGATTGTGTCTATGGCGCCGCTGTTTGGAAAATTTAATGTAACACTTATAATTTTGGAAACAATCTGCTACATAGATATGTATTTGATGTTGCATGTTGCATATTATGGAAATAAAAACCAATTGATATACCACCCGTACATGACTGCTAAACACTACCTTCAGGTAAATTGTTAATTCCGATTAACATTCAGTTTACCCAGCCTATTTCTTTCATAATATATGTGAACCAAGCGCAAAAATCGGGAATAGCTGGCTCAGTGTAGATTAATAGGAAATAAATAGTATCCGTGCGAAATTGGAACAAACCTATATTAGTGTGTAATTTACTAATACCTTTATTAATATTTAAGTGATAATTACAGGGACAATTTGTAATAGACTTCATAACATGTTTTCCTTGGTATGCCATTTGGAAACTGTTTGTTCCCAAACACAATGAAGGTCATTCGTATGAAGATCATGAGATCAATGCACATATGTTCCATTGCGCATTAAGAATGATTAACGTTTTACAAATTGTCAAACTATATGCTGCTTCATGGGCTCAATCTATCGGTGCTTTGAGGAGGGTAATGACTTAAAAAACTAAGTAGTGAACAAATTAAATCTTATATTTTCATATTGTTGTTTGTCTTCGTTAATAAAACTTTCAATATTCATTACATATAAAGTAGTAATTTAGGCGTCTGACGTCAGTGTCGTAGTGAATGGAAGGTACTCAATGAAATTCTTGACCTTCATTAGCTTTGATATTTGCGGTGGCCAGTATACGACAGACCACCGGCATGAGAGTTGAAGAATTGTGTAGCTTTGCGATATAGTTTACTGCTTTTGCTTAAATGTTCTATCAGCTTAGCTAATTAATGTTATTACACAACTCCATAACTTTTAACGACTCATTGCGTTCCTTTTCAGGCATACTACATGAGCGTGGTTCACTTTCTTCTCTTAACGTTATTCTTTTTAAATCTGTATACTTCCCTTTTGATCACTTTTTCCTGTAGATACGTAAAAGCTTACGACGCAGAAAATTTTGAATATAAAGTTAAACAAATATCTGGTACAATTCCTTATTTGAAAACAGAGTTTCATCCTGACGGCAATATGGTTTGTTTGGAAGGCAAGTGAGACTTTAATATCACACATTTTCACATGTATCTAATATCTATAGAGCAACAAACGCTAGCTAGAGACGTCACAAAAAGAAGCTGCTAGAATTATTTATGCAAAAATTAGTTATATTTTTTGTATCAATTATTACAGGATCTTGGATAGACGGAATAATAATTATAAAAGGACACCACTTGTCGCCACCTAAAATTCTCTTACTTGCTTATTACTGGACAGCAACAACGTTTGGAGGAGCTGGTTTCGGAGATATCACTCCTCAGAACATTAAGCATATGATATTGTGCATTTGCGTAAACATACATGGTGTACTCTTTTTTGGGTGAGTTCATCAGTCTTGTTTAGTATAGCACTAACATTATGTTAAATTTAGAGAATGTTTAACATTTCGAAACGATATTACATCATTATAAGATGATGATCAACCATACTACATATAGAACATGATATTTTAGATATGTATACGCTAGAATAGCATCATTAAAAGCTATGGCAGATCAAGTAGTCACGAAGTTTCAAGAAAATCTGAATCATTTGGAATTGTTTCTGAATAGAGAGAAGGTACCTTTTGCACTAAAAAAGACCATTTTAGAATACTGGAAGTACCAATGGAAACGGACAGGTGGTTGGTCGGTACGTATTTTTGGAACATATCGTGAGATATCTAAAGACTGTCAGGTGAACATAATCGCTCCATCTGTTAGTAATTTCTGCTATTGACTGCTAGATGTTTGCTTTAGTGACATATAATAAAAAGTTCCAATAGGACTAATCCAAGCAAAAATTTTTCAAAATAATGTTTAATTCTTGCAGCATCAGTCAATACTGGGAAAATTCCATGCGAACTTAAACGAAGATGCAGTACTTTACATGTACGAAAAAACTTTAAGAGAAATACCATTATTTGAAAACGTTGAATATTCTTTCTTCAGAGCGTTCGCTAAAAAACTGAAAGAATTGTACTTCCAGAAAGGATACATGGTTATGAGATCGAATGAAGTAATAGATACCATGTTCATTATTTATAGAGGAAAGGTTAATTAAATTTAAAGTTTTATTTATAATTAAAATCTAATGAATGCAATATAAGAAACATCGTAGTCAGATCGGTTAATTCACCGTCACCTAGTCCGTAGTAAGTTAGAAAAGTTGGATTAGGTACCAACCAAATAGATGCAAAAAAAATCTACTGAAAAACCAATAAAATCTTGACAACAAAATGAGCTGACTTTTAATCATTTGCAGGTTGACATAATATCAAATATAAACGAAGTGGAAGCTTGTATGGGTCCTGGAGGAATTTTTGGAAACATTAGAGGTGCGACGAAGTATATGACAATGTCAAATGTAATTGCAAGTCGAAACATTGACTTGCTTTGTATTCAAGGACGAGACTTCTACGCACTGTTAAAGGTATTTGCTAGTATCAGAACAACGGTGTGATACTTGGGATTAAGAGATAACGGAGCACCTACCTGAATACTTTATATATTACAGAGTTATCCATCAGTACTACAAAAAGTAAAGGAGTCTGTTGAATCAGCAGCGAAAGACTATGTATTGCCAACAATAATACAAGAATCGAGTAGCGGCCCTAATGTAAGTCAGAATATTTGTCGCAAAAATACACAAAGGTGAAGGTTATTCGTTACTGTTTAGAGTTGAGTTTTCTATTTAGCAGGTGACAAATTTTTCTTTGTCGTACGAAACTGGAGAGGAAGAGGAAGACGAGTTTGAGATTGATCCTGAGCTATTTGTAGAGGTAAGTGATTTACTGATGGACTTGTATGTTTTTTTAGAATTCAACTCGTCCATGCACTACAATAAATTATGTTTTTCATAAATCACGTCTTCAACTTTTCAGAGTCCAGAAAAAAGTCTTGCAGAATCGCACGGTTCCAAATCAATCACTTCAGGAAACGTGGATTACATTCCAGCCGCACTTTTGTTTTTTAAACCCCATAGGTTAATATTATTGTTTAAGAAATATTCTAGTTACATTTTATTTTTTTCCTGTAATTATGATACGATGGCAAACAAGCAAAAAATCGGTGCCGCCCATATATTAGGGAATTTACAATGGCGTTGCCGGTCTTTTGGGGTTAGGGATTAGAGGATCGGGTACGGAGAAAGGAAAAGATTGCGCCCCCGATAACATGGCGAAACAAACGCAAGCGTTGTTCACCTAAAACATCATCATTGAACTTAAGGATTGTTTCCATCTTTATTATTGTGATTTATGACTTAAGTTTGGGTAGCACCGAAATACAAGAATCTTTACTTAAAATTGTAAAGACACAAATATTTTTCTTAAATATCGCTTAATCGTTACTTTGCACAGATGGTTTCGTAGCAGCGTTATTCCAGACAGCGGATTGGTCACATTCATGGGTAAGTGATAAATAGTTTACGTTATCCATGTTTCGATATAATACTGAGCATGATTTATTTATTTCCAGAATATTTCATTCTCTTTGTATCGTACGTGGACTTTATGTTGCTGGTATACCAAATGGCGTTCCTGTCAGTGCCATATTTCTTCTACGTTTGCGTCATATTCGACATCCTGTTTCTATTAAAAGTTTTTCTGGACATCCATTCTGGTTATATGAATAGATACGGAGATTATGTTCTGAATCCGAAGAAAGTTAGAAAAGTGTAAGCAGTATTGAATAAACATTATTTATGTCAGTTCCATTTAGGACAAAAAATAAATAAATCACCCGTTTAACTGTTAATTTCACTTTATGAATTATATATTATTTAATATAGGTCAAAAGACAAAACCGAATATTTCTTAGCAATTATTGCTATACGGGCATAAACCAAAAAGATAATATGGTCTTTCACAGGTATTTTTCCAAAGTATTCCTCCGAAGAAGAGACTTCCTTGCAAACTTTTTAATATGTTACTTAATCTTCGCCTTATCTCTCTCTCCGGAAATGAAAATGACTTTTTTCTGCTATACACGATCACCTCAACTAACTAGAATTTCGTATTTATTTACGTACAGAACACATAGAAAAACGAGCATTGGTTCAGCGAATTTATTGTTTAAACTGACGTAAGTAAGATGTTTTATTTTTAATTCAGCTATTCTTCCTGCAATACAAACCAACTGGTGGACGAAATTAGTTATAAAATCTTTAAAATCTGGCTAGCATATTAATCTAGTTAGAAAGCACAGTGCAATAAATGATTATTTAGGTTGCTAGGCTAACTAAAATAATACATATGGAATAAAGGAAAACTGACAAAAAAGCGGAGAAGTAGCCTAATATAAAGTTCAAAAAACTGAAACAAATTTTAAAACTTCAGGACAATTGCTATCTGGGCATCGATACTATCTCACGTTAATGCTTGCCTGTTCTTCAAGCTATCTTGTTTAACTCCTGTACATTGCACATCCGCTAACTGGATGTCGAAGGAAGCTCTCAATTTGCGAGCCAAATATTCGGAGGTTGGTCTGTTGAATTAAAAGTTAATCGATTTTCTTAGTAAGGATATGTAATGAAAGAAAATAAACTAACGAAGCGGGTGCTAAATTGAATGTAGATGGATGGTCGAGAGGAAGACTACTAAAGAAAATGTAGATAGGAGGTCTTTCGCAAGTAGATATCTATTAATATTTTTATCTGTCAGATTTTATTAGTGGGTGTTAAGAGTAGGTATGAGTCTTAATAAGTCATTTCTAATCTTCCTTTCGTGTTTTCAGGGTAATTTCTTTGCTTTATACGTGGCAGCGTTGTGGTATATAATAAACTTGCTAACAATAACAGGCACGGGAGATGTCTCAGCACAAAATAGTTTTGAAGTCATAGAAACTACTATTGTGTGCATCATTATCAAGTTTTGTACAGGTTTGTAACTTATACCTACTTAAGAAATATTTTATTAATACGTGTTTTCCTCAACCTAAGTCCAGAAATAAAATTGATAATTTAATGTTTAATGATTATTCAACCATTTGATACTTTTTCATTTTCGTAATGTGGATATTTTATTACTTTATCTTTATTGTCATCTGCTCAATCCGATAAATATACTTAATATTTGTATATTTGAACCTTAATTTCTATGTTCTTCAAAAGAGGTCCATGTGCATCGTTGCTTTTAAAACATGACACCGATATGAATAACTTTACCTACCCTTATTTCAGGGCTTCTAATATCAGAAATGTCAGCCATGATCACAGCTCATTCGTCATCACGCATAGCGTATGACTACGATATAAATGAACTAAGAGATGGTCTACGAGATATGGATCTAAGTGTACACCAAATGAGCAAAATGTGGGACTACGTACGTGAGCTATGGAACAGACAACAAGGAAAACAGGTCAGTGTACAATGTTAATTAGAATCATTTTCCTATGACAACAAGGATGATGACAGGGTATTCAAATTAAAAATCTACTTACTCTGTACTTACTATTTTTTTTTCTGGGATAGGTCGGCAAACGAGCATACGGTAATGGTAAGCAATCGGCGCCGCCCATGGACACCAGTAATACCTAAAGAAGTAGCGGCCTTTTGAGCATAAGAGTTTTGGCTATTTAAGGATTGGGAAGCGATGGGGGATGGAAAGGGATTGGGCCTCCGGTATCCTCACTCACACGGCGAAATACAACGCTGCCTGTAATTGTTTCACGCTGGTTTTTTAGGCCGTGGCATCACTCTGGTCGAAATGACCCCGAAGTGTCAGTCAGTGTGTGTGCCGAAGCTTAGCTCTCCTACACTTAAAAATAATTAATTTAAGTTAAGCAGTAGATGGTTGCTGCGTCATCGCTTAGTTTAGTAGGTAGTAAATCACATCATATGACTTTAAATTAATACGTCACCGAAAGAACTTATTTTAATAAATCATAACAACGGACATTTTGGTAAATATGGTCGTCATCCCTATTGGATAAGTTCGTGTAGATTTTTTGAGGCTACTTACCAAATTGTAGCAATCTTGTTGTCGTGGTCGTGGAACAATTGAAATTAAGTTTAATTTTTTTATTACACTGAGTGTGTACCTGCTTTATATAAAGGTGTTTAAACTATTCCCATGATTGAATGAAGATGACACATGAAATGTTTATCTCTGCTGATCAGAGACATCTTACGATTTTTTGATATCATTAGAGTACCAAAAATCATCATCATCAAGTGTCCGTTAGATTCCGGAGGACTATGGACTTTTCTATAAAAGAAGGGTTGCACCATAATCTTCATGTATGCCAAGCGAGAAGGAGACCACAGTTTAAAAAAAAAAACAGTTCAGTATCCATAACCGTTATCGCTTTAGAAACGAAACAAATATAATGGGTATCTTCTGTGTGGCCGCGATATGCGAATTTGTCATCCCTAAGATTTGTGAAGATCATAAGTCACGTAGTCTACGAATGGGTTTTCGCATATTTGTTTCCAATGTACAGCAATAACGAATATAGTCGTTATTAATTATCGATACTGAACTTGGCTATAGTAGGTTTTACCTACAGTATTTTAGGTTAATAACTACAATCCAATTAAATGGGAAGGGCCTACAATAGCCAATACCAAACCAGATAGTTTGACAAAGGCGTCCATTTGTTCTTACGCCCAACTGTTTCGGTGCCAATTGGCAAACAAAGAGCGTGACATCTCTCATCGGTTCCTCACAAGTAAAAATGTATTACTACGTATACATGTCACAATTTCTGCCTTGATTTTATCTTCTTCAAATATGACAACTGCAGTTGCGGGAATATTGTTACAATAATTGTTTGTTACTCATATTATACCTATAGGTTTAGGTACCTATAATAATAAAATGAATCACTCAGCTCGGAATGAGCAGGAATTGCAAATATATTTCTATTTGCTGCCACAAGACGGATTTTTTTTTCAAAAAATATCTTATCTCTAGAAATTGAAGCAAGATATTTTTACTCCCAGACATACGTTTACATTAACATGCAATGGAGAGTGATCATATATTACTCAGTTCAATGTACCCATGTAGAATCCTACGCAAAACTATCTTTATATTTAGTACTAAGACCTAACTGACGTACACGGAAAATTAAAAACTCGACTTCTCCATAGAAAACTTTACAACTTCCTCATTAATTTTTTGCGTCAAAGCCGTTATACCTATTTGTAATCGATTCGGTCTCATTACCAAAATTCACATTCGTTGACCCGATCAAACCTGCACTCGTTGTTTAATTGGTCGTATAACTTTATTCTGGGACGATCGCCCACCTTGAACAATTGCTAATCGTGTAAATCATATTTTCTATTGGCAACAATCACTCACAAGGATGTCCAAAAATCAAGATACAAAAATATTTCGGTAGGTAGGTATTGTTAGAAAATTAAGACAGCTGGATCAAAAATTCTTACCTGATGGCCTACCATGACGTGTTAAAGCGTGAATCTTCCAGCGAGATAGAGGGATAGAGCTATAAAAGGTATATAGCTCCATCCCTCTTTCTCGCCTACGGAACTCTTTTTGTGTTTAGCAGTTGTACCGGTATACCCCGATACCTACGAAACAGCACAATAGGAACTCAGAGAAACAAGTGAGGGTAGGGAGGTCAGCAGGGGTTGCGGGTCAAGCGCAATAAGGTAATGAGTCACCGCGGCTTCGGCCCAGAATAAGAGAAGGAACGGGGGGGGGGGGGGGGGGGGTTAGTCAGTAAGGGTCTGCCACTCTCTCTCGCCTTCCCTGGGCGGGAGAGGTCATTTGATGATTTTCTACTGACAAGAAAAAGGGTAGGTATGCACGGCCCCGGCCTGGATGAAGAGAAGGAACGGGGTGGTTCTTAGTCAGTGAGAATCTAAAGTCAAAAAAGGTAGATACTAAGTAAATTACAAAAATAATGTTTCAGTATGCAGTTGTGATCTCCGAGTACCCCAATCAAACCACAGTCTCAATTCGCTTTACAACTAAATAGTTTCTATAATCCACTTCAGATGCCAGCCCTAGTCTACAAACTACCATTCCGCCTCCGTTGTCAAGTAATGCAAGCGGTCTACGGATCTCACATCCGAGAATCAGTCATATTCAGCAAAACCGATGATGATTTTAGTCGCATGCTTGTTATGTGGATGAAACATTGTGTTTTCTTTCCTGGCAACTATATCGTGCAGTGCGGTGACTCAGATCAATGCATCTACTTCATACATAGAGGACAGGTAAGCTTATGACGCAATTCTTAGGGCTACATCTCATGAGTCGGCGCAAGAATTCGAAATACCCTATGTATTTCGATTTCCTACGCCGACTCATCTGCAAAGTATAGGTATAGGTTATAACATGGTCTTGTGAAGAAGGTCTGTGTGGTAAGCGTTGTCTCACACTAAGATTTTCTATAAAGTCGTGGATGCGTTTACTAATAATATAATACAATTTCATATACATACCACACCCAGACCTGGAACTACCATTTACCACAGAAAGACTGGTACCGAGCGTTCGAATGGCCGACGACTGCCCAGTCAACTTGTCAAGTGTGCAGTCACTGTGCATGAGTATGATCTGACCGTTACATTTATGATATCACCGCCAATATGTCACTTACATTAATCATTATTATACAACCGAACAGATCACGACGCTTCTATTTCAATGAATCATTTGTCATTGCCATCCTCAGGTCGAAGTGCTCACAGTGCACCCGAACTTGACCGAGTCAATTTATGATGTTTTGGGACCAGAAGACAGTTTTGGGATCGCTCAGGTATTAACAATTTCATAGCAACAGTATATACTGATAAAAATAGGAGAAAGTATATTTGTCTTGAGATTTCATAATGCTAAATATTATAATGTAAAAATTATTCTTGAAATCTATTGTAAGCGCATAACTCAACAACAAACGAAATACAAATAATTATATTATGAAATTGAAATATAAATAATACAAGCAAATAACATTGATTACAACAATATTATGTTTCAAACTCATTGAAACCATATAAAACATTTTTCGATACGGCTATTTGTTCTGTATCAGTGATATAAAAAAATATATATTAGGGTAATTTGCAAATTGCAGCATTTTAAACTACCAGGTGGCAGGTCAAGCCTAATAATGTACCGTGGTTTCGGCCTGGAGCAGGAGAAGGAACGGGATGGATTTTAGTTAGTAAGACTCTCACAATCGCTCTCCCTAATCTTGATGATTTCTCCACAAAAAGCCATCAAATACCAAATTCATCAGGACCAGGACTATCAAAATAGCAGAGTAGTAGTACATGTAGGTGAGAGTAGTAATACATTGTCTTATTTTCCAGGGTCTATTTGTGGGAGTCGTCCACCATTTTTCCTTCAGAGCTCGTACAGTCGTTGACATCGTGTATTTGAAGTTGGACCAATGGAAGTATCTCCTCGATTACTATCCAAAATCAGCCAAAATAGTTAAGCAGAAGGTCCATAATGTATATTTAGCTATTTAGTTTAAAAATATATTTTTATTGTTGTTAGTTTTAACTCACGAACTTAAAATGTTTAACATATCCATCGATCATTGTTTGCATTAATTTTATAAGTACAAGTTTTTAATTTAAAAATAAATTATATTCAATTTATTTAACCAAAGTACATTAACGTAAAAAGTAAACATTTTAGGTTCGCCGTTCCTGTAGGTATTTAGATAGAAATAAATTAATGTTATGGAAATATATTGTGTTTATTTTACTTACTTACAAAAATAACATTTAAGCACTTTCGTTTGTATAGTATACAGAATATTTTATACACAGAAATTACAATGAAAAAACAAATAAAAATACTTAAATACAAAATTTTTAATAGAACATAAGAAATCTAAATGCTAAAGCCTAAAAGAATCCAACCAGACATTTAAAAAAAACTTCCATATTGAAGCAGTGTGTGAACAATAAAATTAGATACATACGTTAAATAAATAAATATATACGTTTTTTTATTTGCATTACGGTTATCCTTTAGCTCATTTCAATCTATATAAACGATGATGCGACCTACGATGGAGAACGTTACCACATATAGGCTTGTCAAACATGTGATCAAACAAAATATCATTAGCTATCAACAGTTCGCGTATTCAAAAAGCAGAAGCAGAGGGACCGTTGATGCAATAGACTCACTCGTGAATGATGTGGTTAGTAAACAGAATAAAAAAGAAAAAGTGGTAAGACTATTCCTAGATCTCAACTCTGCCTTTGATACAGTTGAACATAAAATCCTTTATGACAAATTAGAGCACTATGGAATAAGAGATAATATCTTAAAGCTTTTCATTTCTTAATTACAGAATAAATCACAGTACGGCGAAATTAAATCAATTGAAAACGGACACGTAACAATTAAAAACTCTAATTTAGTAAAGTTCAAAAGGGGGTTCCACAGGGCTCAGTCTAGGGTCCAATATTTTTTATGATATTTCTTAACGACTTAGCAAACTATATGTACATATAAGATACTACCAGACAAAAAAATGGTTATTTTTGCTGACGACACAAATGCAGTTATGAATGATACCTCCGTAACGGACTTAGAAAATTAAGTGAATATTTCACAGTCTGTTTTTAATGTCCCAATAACTTCAGTGAGAAATAAAGTGGAAATTTCACATATCTTAAGATTTATATGAATAAATATTGATGCGCTCTAAAGCTGGAAACAAGAACTCGAAGCAATTACTAATGCTTTCAGCAGTGCATGCTATACTTTAGAAGTTTAAGAGACGAGCTAACCATTGTTCAGTTAAAAAATGTTTACTCTGTCCTAGTTGAGTTCAGGTTAAGGTACAGTATTAAACTATGGGGGAACAGTTACAAGTACAATATAGATGCAGCTTTTTTAGCTTAAAACTATTCTTCACATGGAACAGACTGAATCTTGAAGAGAGCATTTCGTGAAATTGTAAAATTCTACCTATAAGTACCTTGTTTTGTCATTGTTTTTGGTTCTACTAAGTATAAAGACAATGAAGGCATCCATGATAACTGAATCTCAAATGCCAAATCAGAAGAAAACATAATTATATGTTGAATAAGGAAATGCTTAAATATTAATAATAAATCTTAAAATTATCTCAAATCAAATTACAACAGAAAAATAAAACAAAAAGTGAGTCATTCAGGTGACGTCACGTCAAGTCACGCCCCATCACGTCCCCGGAGGCACATATTGGCAGACATTTAGGCACATACACATTAAAAGAAACATTTTTTGGGTGTACTTTTAGATAGTCATGATAACTACATATTCCCTAACCTAACTACTTATTACCTAACAACCATATTGAATTTTTAACTATAACAAGAACAATACAGTTGATTTTTTTTATAACTAATGCCTTAAATTGTACCTGACGACTAAAGCAACTACAGCTTTCGATTTCTATATACCTGGTTGGATGATACCAAAACAAAAACTACCTAACTATAAAACAAATAGGTAACCTTACCAAATTTAAATGTCAGTGAAATTTCAATTAAGTCGCTTTCTCTTTCTAGTTACTCTTTGGGATATCTCTGGAATAACTTCTTCTGTCATGTCTATGTTTTCTGACTCCTGCGTTTGGCTGGGTTGTACCTCAGTGTTTTGTTCCTCTATATTTTGAGTTGCGTTTGATTCTTGAGACTGCGATAATAGCCTGGAACTGTTTAAGGGTTGGTATTAGAATGGTGTGTAAAGTTAGTGGTGAATTATAAGGTAAAAGCTTATATATACTAGGGACCTGCCCCGACATCGCACGGGTGCATTGATGATACAAAAGTACTGCAGTCTTTAATGGATATTATTATACCTATAAACCTTCCTTATTAATTACTCTATGAAAAAAAAATCGTATCAAAATCCATTGTACAACTTTAAAGATTTAAGCATAAATAGGGATATAGTGACAGAGAAAGTGAGTTTGTTTTATACTATGTAATGATTAATTTATAGGACTATTAAAATTCTGATTGGACTGATTAACTGATGGATTGTCTATAGGACTAAAGCATCTACTTAATATTCGAAGTAAAAAGATAACATGATAATGTTAATTCTCTTTCTGGCGATACAGATTGCGCTAGCTGGGTAGCTAGGTCTTGTGTACCTAAATGCTCACCATAGAGAAAAAAATACTTAGGGTTTCATCAAAAAAACAAATAAATGTAATGATTAAAAATGAAATGATAACTCTCACTAAATCTCAAGAATCGCTGGTCCGATTTGGCCACAGACGTCTCAACCTAAAGACAGCGCTTTGGCAGGCATATGCATTCGCGAAGGTTAGGCAGTGATACTGCATAACAGCCGGCCCCGCCGCTATCTGTTTCTCATTCCGCCGCCGAGAATCAAAGCGAAATAACAACAGCGTCAATTTTGACGCTGTTGTTGTTGTTTTGTTTTCGTACTGAAGTTTGTTTACGAGTAGTCTTTAGGTTGAGTCGTCAGTGGATTTGGCTAACTTAGATCTTGAAACATTAGTCGAAGTCCGGGAAAGGCTTAAAAGGTCGGAAATCAGCTAGTAGATTTATATTATCACCATAACCTTATCAAAATCAAAACTAATGTTCAATGAGGTAAAGCAGAATTCACTGTCGAACACAAGTTACACTACAATTGTAAATTGTACATTCCATTTATTCTAATTTTAAATTTTAAACAGAGGAATCATCGAATGAAAGAACTTACTCATTACCACTATGACATTATTAACAGATTAAATTTAAAATAAAAAGTATTACTTACCCAGCACTAGTCAGACGATCAAGCTGGGATTGGTCAAAATCAACCTTACAGCATGGCCATTTTTGTATCTTACTTAGATAACCCATCAAACATCGGTTATGGATGGCTAATGCACAGGCTGGGCAGTTGTAACCCTGGAAATGTACAGTTGAATTTTTAACATGATTTTAAATTTAAGTACAATTTGGCTCCTTGTTGGTCTTAAGATCACATCATACCCATCTTTGGTAATTATCAAGAATTTCTCTGTATATACAGGGTGTCCGGTTAAGAATGTTTTAACAAGTTTTTTATAAAAACTTTTTTTTGTATATTTTTTCATCATTAAATATACTTTAAGGCACTTCAAGGTTATCCATTATTACCGGACACCCTGTATTAATTGGGCTTTGTATATAGCAATTTGAAATACGGACTATTACATGGAACTTATAACATTACTTGTGAAAGTAGATAATAATATTGTTTATGTCATACATTACCTACACATATAATTAAATAACCTGCACTTGCCCACTTTTAGACACAAGAGTACCTTCATGCTTGGCTTTGGTGCCTTGGAATTTGTAGGTGAGAAAGCTAAAATGTTTAGACTTATCACACACCACTATACCACATTACTTATTGCTTATACAACATTGTGAAATTATGTTTTTATAATAACTATCGTGAGACATACTAAATTAACTAAAATTCGCGGGTTACTCACGTGTACATGTTGAGAAAAGCTCTACTAGTTTCGAACCACAGAGGGGTTCTTCCTCATGAGCAGCGTGCGCGGACGTGCGGCGACGTCGCGCAGCCTACTCCTGAGTAGGCTGTGCGACGTCGACGTCGCAAGAACCCCTCTGTGGTTCGAAACTAGTAGAGCTTTTCTCAACATGTACACGTGAGTAACCCGCGAATTTTAGTTAATTGTGAAATTAATAAAATAAAGTCAAAATCATTTCTTTTTTACTTTCAATAAACTAGTGCTTGACTGCGATCCAACCTGGTGGTAACCAGTGATGCAATTGTTGATGGTAAGGCGCACTAGTCTATTAAGAGAAACATTTATTCCAACTAAACCATAAATAGGTCTTTTGAAACGTCAAAATAGAAAAGTAGTCTGTTTGTCAGTGAAGCTAGGTGCTCATTCCAAATTGTAGATTCAAATAGAGAAGAACAAGCAAGAAACTCCATATTATGTACCTACTCATATCAGTCATAATGGTGTACAGAAATATGACTACTAATCTTTGTTTTATGTACTTAATGACTTGAATAATTAGAGTTACTTATGAGACTCAAGAGGCAATACAATATGCTAGCTTATTTCATTTGTAAATGCAGACGGAGCCACATCTTTCTTTTTTTTTATTTGGCCTGTATCCCACTTGGTGGTACGCGATGATGTAGCATAGATGCGTTCCCCTAAGCAACCTATTCACAAGAGCCTTGAAGAAACAGACACAGAAGAACACTCTCAGACCCAAACAAAGCGAATGACCGAAATCTTCAGGAGTTCTGTTTAAAGCAGCTAAAGCTTGCTTAGTAATTAATACTTATCTAGTTAGAATGCTATGTTAACCATATACTAGATTATATGACTTCAGCTGATCTGGGTAAATAATGCAGAATGCAGATCTACACCAGATACATTTTAATATTTTGTAGTTTACATTAAATGGCCAGCAAGCAGTTTTTAATTTGTTGCATAAATATGGGAATTTAAAAAAGCTAAGAAAACATACATATAATTTGTTAAATGCAAATATACAATACCCATCCACATTTGAATTTGGCTAGAACATTTTACGGACCTTACCTTTATCAGAGAATGTTTAATAAACAGTTACATATTAATATCCGAAATTAAAAGAAATTAAAAATCTTGTTTTAAAAATAGAACTTACTCTAAAAACTATTTGTTTGCACAGACAACATTGTTCAACAGTATCTGGCATGTTCTGACGGATGTAACCTTCAAACTCATGTACTGCTCGCACTCCTAAAGCATAGTTGTTTTGATCCTTATCTAAGTACTTCATTCTGTGCCAAGTGTTCAGCATTCTCTGAAATTATTATGATGCAAAATTATGTAAAACTATCCAATTAGATCCATAGAAGGCATGTTTTTTTTGTGAGGGGAAAATCATCAAATGACTACTCCCACCCAGGGCCGGGCGGGAGGGAGTGTCAGACTCTTACTGACTAAAAGCCCCCCTGTTCCTTCTTCTGCTCTGGGCCGATAGAAGGCATGGTGAATTGTGTATTTGTGAGACCTTTGCTCTTAATCAGAGCAATATTAGTAATGACATTTCTTAAAAATAATTGAAGAAATATAATGTGTACATTATATAATGTGCGAAGAAATAACAAGATACCCTATTACCTAGGATTTGTATCAAAACTTGTAAATGAAAGATCTTGTCACTATTTGCCCAAGGAGTTCCAGGAGCAAATAGTGTACTGCAACACCGCGGCCTCAGCCTATACCAGGATAAGGAACAGAGGGTTTTTAGTCAGTAAGAGTCTGACACTCTCTCTCGCCTAACCCGGCGGGACAAGTCATTTGATGATTTTCCCCTGACAAAAAAAGGCTTAGCAGAAAGTAACAGGTCTGTTCAAGGTATTTAAATTACTTCTTATTATACTGAATAACAACTAGGCCAATTATATGGCAAGACAGAATGATAGATTCTAGTAAGAATCTATCTTTGAGAAGTCATTTGATGATTTTTCCCCGTCACAAAGGAAAAAGCCCTTGGGGCTTATAGCACCACATATACAAATGTGATCCTTATATATAAAAATGAATCACAAAATGTGTTGGTAAGCACACACCTCAACAATGCCAATTTTGCCAATTCTTTTTTGCTGTATTTATTATAGTCAGGAGAAGATTCTTATCAAATACAATATTAGAAAAGTAGGGAGGGAAAATTAGAAAAAGTGACCCTTTCATTTTAAACAAGATTGTTGGACCTGTGCGAAGTGGGATGGACGGCTAGTTAATGATAAATAAATACTCACTTGTGCATCAGATTTTGTGAAAGTCGATTTCATACTGCTAGCTAAATTAATAGCATTCATTCCCGTAATCTGTCTTGATTCCGTAGTCATAATCTGTTCTAAGATTACTCTGAAATATTCCAATTCATTTGCAGTGAATAAGTTCTGGGCTTTGGTTGCCTCATCATAGCCCAGAGATAAGAATACAATAACTTTTTCATTTGTGACCTCATCACTTGTTATTTTTATCTCTTGTTGAAATTGTCTAATTTCATCATTGATTGATTTAACTACATCCTGTACTGATGTTTCCTCTTCATCTGGAATATTTCAAACATATTGTGATATTAATAATGATAGCGAGTACTTATATTACAAATGATGTATAAGCAAAATAAAACTAAGACTACTCATTGTGCACATACATTGTCACTTGAAGTAATAATATAGAGATCTAAGAATGTGTGAAATTATGTATATTAATAAAAAGTAACAAAGATACACTTATAACATCCAGATGACAAAACAACTGTTAAAAGTGTTATGAAAAGTAAAAATGAATTCTGAATACTTTTAATTAAGCATTAAAATTTGAAGATTCTAGGTTTATAAATTTGCAATGGGTATAGCACTAACACGGTGCTTAAGTAAACAGGATCTGTTTACTTCATGAGTATAGCTATCTTAGTAGAAATTAAGTTTAGCATACTACATGAAGGAACAGAAAAAAATGAGAAACATTATTTTAGATGCTTACCATTATACTTCTGCACAATTTCTTGAGCGTCGGTCATGGATACAGCACCTTGACTGGCCACTGTTCTTAGAAAGAACCTATGTAATTTACCGTATGTCATGGTAATTACTCTAATGTACTATTCAGAAGCAGAAGCAGTTAAACGTTTGGTCAGTGGGTAGCCGTAGGGGCGGATTTAACAAGCCGTTAAGATAAGGAAAATGAATTCGCGGCACAATCACACAACAAAAACAGCAATGCAAAATACAAAACGTCACTCATATTGTCTGTTAATGTCAGTGTCAAAAACCTGCCAATACTTAGGTTTGCATCCTGGGCTTTTTACTTAAGTTATTTATATATCTTATTTTGTTATAAAAATACGTCATTCATTAACGGTAGTGGTATATTAATGGGTGTTTAAATATTTTAAACAAAATACTCTCTGACACTGGTGGCTTAAACATCATTCATTAACAGTAGGTACTAGTAGTTTTAATGGGTGTTTAAATAATTTAAACAAAATATTCTCTGTCACTGGTGGCTTAATTTTTTGATTTCTTATTTTTTATGCATCGAAGGAATTCTTTAATAACTAGACCAAAATTAAAAATCCTATCATTAGATTATAACTTCTGACTAGTTTATAAAGATAACTTACTTGCCATCGTCTCCGTGAGGTGCACGCAGCTTTTAAATAAAAGTCCTGTTCCGCCTTTAAAGTAGTACGGATGCACAGTTATTTCACGACTTATTCAGTGGTTTTTTACACTAAATTTTGTATGTCTCACGATATTTAGATACGTTCGGTTAAGATTTGTCAAAATTCAATGCGATCAGCAGCAGCTGCTCTCGGTATCTACTTATCAAATTACTAAAGTGTAAATACCTAAATACTGTAAATGACTTAATTGCAATCAATTACATATAACCTTTATCACAAGTTACAACATTGATTGCGACTAGTAGGCACCTAAGTGATCCATTTGTAGTAATTTAGGTATGTAAGTACCTATTACAAGATTGGCATCAACTTTATTGTTTCCTTATCCTTCAATGACCAGACTTACATTATTCAAAATTGGCTTACCTACCCTAAGGTAGGTACTTCGCAAAATAAAAAGGCGCCACTGGATTTTGTTTCTTTATTCAACCAGGGTAGTGTTATTTGCATAGAGTAAAGCTATAGCGATGGAGCTTTGGCTTTGTAAATATGCGCTGCTACTGGCTACATCGGCAGGTGCATACTGGAGTATTTTTGGATGACAAAATTCTACTATCAAGTATGTATAAGGAGAAAAATGTATTTAATTGCCTTGAGAGGAAATGCCAAAACAAAATTAGAGGACTCTTTTAAATTTCACACAAAATATTACGTACGATATAAATATTATGTAGGAGAACCATGCAAGTTTGTTAATTTTGTTGTGGTACCTATTTTGTGGAAAACACTACACTAGTTTATGTACCAATACTTAGGTACCTGTTCTGACGACGACGAACCAGCTCAACTTACCAGTGTTGTCCAATCAATTGTCTGAAAAAACAATCTCAACCAAAACAATACTTGGGTAGTACTCGAGCTCTCAAAACATAAATAATTTGTTATCAAAAGGCGAAGAAAACCTTACATTAAAAAAAAAATGGAAAATATCACCTGACTCACTTAAATTAACTCGGTGACGTGACGTCCAAATTTAAATAAGAGTCCCGACTTGAAACCAGTTGTTGTATTTTTTTCAGGTGAATCTCGTGAAAAGTAGTTATTTAAAAAAATAGTTGTGAGTATTGTAAGACAGGTATGTCTTTTTTTGTCAGGGAAAAATCATCAAATGACCTCTACCGCCCAGGGTAAGGCGAGAGAGAGTGTGTCTCCAGCTCTGGGCCGAGGCCACGGTGACTTATTGCGCTTAACCCGCAACCAAGACAGGTATGTCTGATATTACAATTCTCACGATAGTAACTGTATAAAGGTGCAGGCAATTTAATGTTACAAACATGTCAACATATACAGACGTTACAGCAGCTCATTCCTAAGCCTCACTATCTTCTACATAGAAGGTTACACAAATGCTAATGATCTAGTCTTTGATTTTTATAAATTTCTTTCATCATCATCATCATCAGCTGCAATGCAAAGGCCTCTTTTCAAACGGAGAAGATTTGAGTATTTATCGCCACACGATTATAAGTCCAGGTTTCATCACGATGACTTTCATCGCCGTATGTCAGTGGTGTGTAAATAATCATAGAAAGTATATAAGTATAACTCGGAAAAAGTCACATTGGTACTTGCCAGGTTTCGAACCTCGATTACACCAGGCCACCACGACAATGTTTCACCAAATTTCTTTACAGTATAGTTAAAAGAATTTAATTGTCAAAGCATATGTGTATGTACCTACATTGATTGATGAAAATATCTATCTTTAAATTGCTCAATTCTAAGTAGTTCCCTTGCTCGACGTCCACAGACTCACGCGATCTAAGTACTACTACCTATTAAGAAAAATGAGTGGCTTGATTATCTATAACTTTTTGAACACATTTTTCTAAACATCCTAATCCTGTACACAAGTAAAAAACATAGTTTATTTCTTAGCAAACTGTCCCGTTTAACTGGGCAGGGCTAAGCCACAGCTGTTCAAATGTCACTCGCGATCGAGTGCGGCGTTCAATTACAGTAGTTAATTGCCATCGTGTTCCTGATCGCTTCTTTTCCTTGGTCACCAGTACCTACCTTCCATCCAGATTTTTTGCAGTTTTAAGAAGTAATAGTAAGTAGGTATACAAAGAGTTTATTTTCTATACGTGAACTCAATTCAGCCTCGTCGTTTTGTTACAATAAAATGCAAGTCTTTACTGAAATAATTTTACGTAGATAAATATCTTCTAAGGGACTTGATATTTATTTTTTAGTTGTGTTCTCGTTATGATTTCTAACTAAGTATTAGGATAATTACCTAACAATTATAGAACTTACATAGGCATAAAATTTGAAGTATCTATTTTACCTATCTACCTTATGCAGGGTTGTGTTTGAATTGGAATTCTAAATTCAAATAAACTATATAACAGAAGCTACCTACGTTATTATTTTTTATACATATTTTAACCGACTTCCAAAAAGGAGGGAGGTTCGCAATTTGACCGTATGCGTTTTTTTAAAATTAGGTATCCATGCTGTCGATACTTGTCTGATTTTTAATATGAGTTGGAATAGGTACCGTAGGAACAATCTATTTTGAGGAGTATGCGCTATTGATCATGTAGATTTATTTACGATTCCTAATAAACAAGATATTTATATAAGTTCAATAATTTTTACACGGGTATTACCTTTTATTTTAGTATCAAGTGAATTACGATTAAAACATGCATGGTGCATAAACAGTAGAACTGATTGTTCGTTTGTATGTAATAGTTCCATTATCAAATTTACCGTCAACAAAGCAACGTATAACATTATTAAGGAGCAAACGTAGTCTACGAGCATCGTACCTACTCCTATTAAAGTCATAATTGCTTCCCCGCTCCCTAATTACTGCGTCCTGTGTCCCCATACTCTCTTATCAATTATGGGGTCTCGTCCCCTGTGAGATCACCACAATTTCAAACGACAAGTTTGTTCAGGAGAAAAATATAGGTGGGTAAATACTTTTTGAAAGATACGAAACACGGATCTACATTAAAATATTAGTGGCCATCTTGAATCAAAAGTTCACCACTGTCCAATAACAGTGGTCTGCATTATTCCATATTGACAATCATTTGTTTATTGGCGTATCGTTATGTTTTAATAAGGTGATAGAGATTGATTAACACCTAGATAAATTAAAAACATATACCTATAAAACATATACCTACATAACATACTTAGTCAAAATTTTGAGAGCTAGATTATTTAAACCATTTTTACACGTACACAAATTGGAAACAGACAAAAAAAAAACATTTACACAAAATAAATATATGTATACTTACATATAAAGTGTTCTCAGTATGTGTATGTTGTGCTGATGCACAGCCCTGCTTTTCAGATGGCCCCTAAGAAATTATTGGCATTCAATTAAAATGATTATTTAATACTGAGGTATTACATTCCATATTGGATAAGGTAATAAAGGTATCCACACAACGATTGGCAGACTACAGAGACAGTGGCTATTCATACACTAAGTTTCGAAATGTAATATGGTTTTCAATAAAGCCAAATTTCTCGTGAACTTTAGTTGGCTCAGTAGCCACAGAATGGTTTCTCTCATTATCCCTACTTAATAAAACTTTATTTTCTTACTCATGAAATTAATTATTCGATAGAATATGTCGAGTTTGCCATGCTTGCTTGTTTGGACCGGCTCGACCGGAGTGACACGACGGCCTCACAGAAAACCGGTGTGAAGCAACACTTACGTTTTGTTTCGCTGCATGAGTGAGGTAATTGGAGGTCCAGTCCTACCCCTCCCCCATCCTTGATCCTAAAGTATCCTTAAATCCCTAAAAACCCACAAAAGAGCGGTAACGCATTTGTAGTAACTCTTTTGGTATTACTGGCGTCCATGGGCGGCGCTGATTGCTTACCATCAGGTTATCTGACTGCTCGTTTGCCAAACTATGACATAAAAAAATGTAGGTACGAAGGTAGGCAAGAAATCGCGAAATCAATAATTTGAAATTGGCTAAATTCTTTAAGCCCTTCCCTTTAGCTTTTAGAAAGATCATTATGTTTCAAATCTCTATGGGTTTATGGGAAGAATGTATAATACTGTATTCTCCAGCAATATCCACTCTTAAGCAGATATCCGTTCAGTGGAGACACAAACGCCATTTAAGCGATTGGATATAAAGTTTGAGTACCCATAAGCGCCTCTACGACAATCATTCGGGTAGGAAGATTATTTTAAATCGTATCTGCACTTGTGATATTTATTACGTAGTATTTAATAGGTTATTAATTTTCAAACAAATATGAAACTAACAGTTAGTTGGTATCTACGTAAGTAGCTGTTACTTTGCCTATTATACATAAAACATTAAGCTTCGACTTAACAAAGTTAAGTACCGTCGAAAATATAAACACAAACATAAATTCATTAGTTTTCAGTACCCACGTATGCTTTTATAGACGGCATAACTCTCTCAGTAAATTATCTAAGCTACGAGCGCTTTCAAAACTTTTAATGGAGTCAATTTGGCTTCGCATTCAAAACACCTAACGTACT